AGAGCTTCACTCCTTTTCCTGGCTGAGTAATATTCCCTTGTGTGGATGGACCCCATTCTGTTTTTCCAACCATTCATCGATCCATCTATCCATCCACTCATCCATCCATCCGCCCATCCACTCATCCATCCATCCATCCGCCCATCCATCCACCCATCCATCCACCCATCCATCCATCCACCCATCCATCCATCCACTCATCCATCCATCCACCCATCCATCCATCCATCCATCCATCCACAGACACTTGGGTTGCCTCCAGCTTCTGGCTGCTGTGAATCCCACTGCTTGAACCACCTTTGTCTTCTTGACAACTCAGAACCATCACCTCCCGAGTCCCAGATAATGCCTTTCTGACACCTCCTGAGGCCAGAGCGTTCCTTACGCACCGAGACTGCACAGCATGGCCTCCTGTACCCACAGCCTTGTTTTTCCCTTCTCGAGGTTTTGTGGGTACCCGCCTCTGGAGGGAAACGGGCCGGCCGGATGGAGAGGGCCTGAAAGGGTCTGCGGTGTGGGGGTGTGGAGGGTGGGTCCCTTCCTTTTCCCTTGTGTTCATCTGATTTTCAGCAGGTCCACCCAGGGCTGCAGAGACACCAGGAGGCCATGGGGTGGGGGAAATGCCTTCCTGGGATGGCGGTCATGGTTCCTATGAACATGAGTCCTGACTTTGCCACCTCTCGGGGTCTGCTTTGCAGTGAAGGCAGTGACGAGAGTCATGTGCAGGCACGGGGCTGTGACCTGGCCCGTGGTCTGGTCTCGGGACAGGGAAGTGTGGGCATTTGGTACCCACACCCACACGCTGGGGGCTCACGCTCACCCCAAACAGCATTACCATCTAACTTGGGGGGGTCTGGATCCTCCTCTGTGTCACATCTCCCTTGTCTTCTTCCCATTTGCTGGAGCTGGGACCCCCCCCCACCCGGCCCCGCTGTAAGGCAGGAAGGAGGGCACACCCTCCACCTGCTGGAAAGGCCCCAAGTGGATGGGCACTCAAGTGCAGGGCTAAGTGCACTGAGCTGACCACCAAATTATCACCTTGTCAGCTGAAAATGCTTTATAACAGCTAAACAACCTCACGTGAGTCCCCTCACCGGACGTGCAGTAATGCTGGTCTCCTCCCCCGAGGTGGTGGTGAAGGACAGAGCAGTGTTTACTGCAGGCACCGAGCAAGGGGTCCAGGCAGCTGGTGCTCAACACACCCCAACTTCCCGATGGCTTTCAGGGAAAGGGTTTTAAAGACAGGGGAGGGAGGGGACAATGGGTGCATGATCAGCTCATGCACATCCTTCTGACTGGCTGGTGGTGAGGTCACCGGGAGTCAACACCATCAACTTTCTGGTCCCAATGGTCTGGGATCTCTGTGCTGGTGGGCAGCACACAGTTAACTCCTTCCACCTGGTGGGGGTTTCAGGGTCTGCAAAACAGATCAAAGGACATGGCTCAGAATATGATCTACAGCCCTTGAGGGGGAACTCAAGGTCCTTGACTTTGTCTGATGGATGGATGGATGGATATGGGGGTGAATGGGTGGCTGAGTGGGTGGATGGATGGGTGGATGGATGGATGAGCGGATGGATGGATGAGTGGATGGATGGATGGATAAACGGAATGGGGTCCATCCACACAGGGGAATATTACTCAGCCTGGAAAAGTAGTGAAGCTCTGACACAGGCTACAACATGGGTGGACCTTGAACACACGATGAGAGAAGCACACAAAAGGACACACAGGGTGTGATTCCATTTACAGGAAACGCCCAGAACAGGCAAATCCACAGACACAGAAAGTGGACAGAGATCGATTAATAGGCTGCCAGGTGCTGGGGAAGGGGGATGAGGATGGATGACTTAATGGGCACATAGTCTCCTTTTGGGGTGACCCTCGTGTACACCTCAGGATGTGAATCTCATGGTCGCCAACACAGCAGCTCAGGGATGCTAAGGGGGCAGGATACATCTAGTTACATACTCCATCCACAGTTCCAGTTTATGCAATTTAGTTACAGTGAGATTTTTACCTAATTCCCGTAATGCCTGCCCCAGTGTGTGTAGAGATCTTAAAGCCAGAGGCATCAGGACCAAGGGGCTTACAGCTTCCTAGGTACACCAGCCCAGCTGGGGCCTCACAGACTGGACTCCTGAATGTGACCTTCCATACTGCAGTGCGGGAGAACTGCCCAGACCCACAGCATCCCAGGGCCACGTCCTCTCAGCAGGGCCGACCCCTGCACCGTTAGCTTCAGACTTCCAATGTGGGAGGACCACTGTCTGTACAAGAATGATATGGATACATAGAGGGATGGACTGAGGGATGGGAGACATAGATAGATGAGAGGTACAGAGAGAGATTACAGGCAGAGAATAGAGAGATAGGTGAATAGATAGATGATAGATAGATAGATACACAGATAGATAGATAGAGGGAAATATTGGTGCACAAACATACATAGATATGTAGATAGAACAATGGATGGATGGGTGGATGGACGGATGGATTGATGGATGGATAGATAGATGGACAGACGGACGGATAGATGGATTGATGGATGGATGGGTGGACGGATGGATGGATAGATACAAACATACATAGATATGTAGATAGAACAATGGATGGATGGGTGGATGGACGGATGGATTGATGGATGGATAGATAGATGGACAGACGGACGGATATATGGATTGATGGATGGATGGGTGGATGGATGGATGGATAGATACAAACATACATAGATATGTAGATAGAACAATGGATGGATGGGTGGATGGACGGATGGATTGATGGATGGATAGATAGATGGACAGACGGACGGATAGATGGATTGATGGATGGATGGGTGGATGGACGGATGGATGATAGATGACTAGCAAAATAGGTGCATGGGGCTGTAGGCAGCTAGATAGAAGAATGGATGGGTGTGCGTGGGTCACTGAGCACGTCACTTTCTTCTGGTGACGAGACCGAAAGAGTTGGCCAGGCACACAGCTTTGGCAGGCAAGAGGAAGTTCTTTCGGTTAGCCTACTTCTGAAACTTTTTTTTTTAAAATAAAAACCCCCAGGTATTTGCTCGCCTGGAAACACAACTTCAGTTCACCGCCCGCGGTACCTTCAGCACCGGGGCCCCTCCTCCGTGCCACACCTGAAGCTCCTCTGTCGGCAGCAAACCCTTCTGGCAAAGGCAGGGTCTCCCTGCAGCCGCCGTGGG